CCGTTGTTGAAAAACAGGGATTCTCAATATTGTCAAAATGGCTATAGTACCCAAAGCAATCTACAGATTCAATGCAATCCCTATCAAGCTACCAACGGCAGCTTTCAGAGAACTAGAGCAAATAATTTCACAATTTGTATGGAAATGCAAAACACCTCGAATAGCCAAAGGAATCTTGAGAAAGAAGAATGGAACTGGAGGAATCAACCTGCCTGACTTCACACTATACCACAAAGCCACAGTCATCAAGACAGTATGGTACTGGCACAAAGACAGAAATATAGATTAATGGAACAGAACAGAAAGCCCAGAGATAAATCCACGAACCTATGGTCACCTTATCTTCGACAAAGGAGGCAAGGATATACAGTGGAAAAAAAGACAACCTCTTTAACAAGCGGTGCTGGGAAAACTGGTCAGCCACCTGGAAAAGAATGAAACGAGAACACTTTCTAACACCATACACAGAAATAAACTCAAAATGGATTAAAGATCTAAATGTTAAGACCAGAAACCATAAAACTCCTAGAGGAGAACACAGGCAAAACACTCTCCGACATAAATCACAGCAGGATCCCAGAGGATTAGAAACAAAAGCGAAAATTAACAAATGGGACCTAATGAAACTTAAGAGCTTTTGCACGACAAAGAAACTATAAGTGAGGTGAAAGGACATCCCTCAGACTGGGAGAAAATAACAGCAAATGAAGCAACACACAAAGGATTAATCTCAAACATATACAAGCAACTCCTCCAGCTCAACTCCAGAAAATAAATGACCCAATCAAAAAATGGGCCAAAGAGCTAACCAGACATTTCTCCAAGGAAGACATACAGATGGCTAAAAGACACATGAAAAGATGCTCAACATCACTCATTATCCGAGAAATGCAAATCAAAACCACAATGAGGTACCATTACACGCCAGTCAGGATGGCTGCTATCCAAAAAGTCTACAAGCAATAAATGCTGGAGAGGGTGTGGAGAAAAGGGAACCCTCTTACCCTGTTGGTGGGAATGCAAACTAGTACAGCCACTATGGAAAAGAGTGTGGAGATTTCTTAAAAAACTGGAAAAAGAACTGCCCTAAGATCCAGCAATCCCACTTCTGGGCATACACGCCGAGGAAACCAGATCTGAAAGAGACACGTGCACCCCAATGTTCATCGCAGCACCGTTTATAATAGGCAGGACATGGAAGTAACCTAGATGCCCATCAGCAGACGAATGGATAAGGCAGCTGTGGTACATATACACCATGGAATCTTACTCAGCCATTAAAAAGAATTCATTTGAATCAGTTCTAAAGAGATGGATGAAACTGGAGCCCGTTATACAGACTGAAGTAAGCCAGAAAGATAAAGACCATTACAGGCTACTAACACATATACACGGAATTGAGAAAGATGGTAACGATAACCCTATTTGCAAAACAGAAAAAGACACACAGATGTATAGAACAGACTTTTGGACTCTGTGGGAGAAGGCGCGGGTGGGATGTTTCAAGAGAACAGCATCGAAACGTGTATATATAATCTAGGGTGAAAGAGATCACCAGCCCAGGTTGGATGCAGGAGACAAGTGCTCGGACCTGGTGCACTGGGAAGAGCCAAAGGGATCGGGTCGAGACGGAGGTGGGAGGGGGGATCGGGATGGGAAATACATGTAAATCCATGGCTAATTCATGTCAATGTATGACAAAAAAATTTGTAAAGTCATTAGCCTCCAACTAATAAAAATAAATGAAAAAAAAAACAACAGGGATTCATTGAGCTGCATGGGAGATGAATTCTGTCATTAGAAACTATGCCACCAGGCTTAAGAAATATATTTAGAACTCATTTCTTTCCGGAAACAGGTTTCAAGATCTCCATAAGAAGTCTTTTATTAAGATAAATCACAGCTTTGTCAGTTTCTCCAGAGGTACCCTATTTTTAATTCCCAAGGAGAATGGCAATAATAAAACTAAATTAACCGAGTAGGTTATTTTCTCTCTAATGGCCCCTGTCTTGATTAAGACGATTCCGGTCGACGTATTTCCTGGGCTTCCCTGGTGGCTCAGGTGGTAAAGAATCTGTCTGCAATGCAGGAGACCTGGGTTTCATGCCTGGGTTGAGAAGATCGCCTGCAGAAGGGAATGGCCACCTCTTCCAGTATTCTTGCCTAGAGAATTCCACGGACAGAGGAACTGGGAAGGCCACAGTCCATGGAGTCACAAAGAGTCGGACACCGCTGAGCAACTAATACACATATTTTCTTACCATTTGCTTAGCAGAAGCAATCATTCATAGCATTTTATAGCACTTTCTAAAGAACATTTTGTGCCTTTTTTCTCTTTTGTAAGCTGCACCAGGTCTTGGTTGCCACACATGGGATCTTTCATTGTGGCGTGCAAACTCTTCCTTGCAGTGAATGGGATCTAGTTCACTGACCAGAGATTGAACCCAGGCCCCTGCATTGGGAGCAGCCACTGGATCGCCAGGGAAGCCCTCTAAAGAACTCTTAAAGTGAAACTTTTTGGATGTTCGCAGCAGCTCTGGGCAGTCCTAGTGATGATACTTGTTCTGCACTCTTGAGCCCGTGACCTCCCTGAGGGACACAGGGGCCAAGCGAGCAGATGCTACCCCAGCGCCAGACCGCAGGGCCAGACTGGCAGTGTAAACTCCCTTCCAGTGATGTCCTCTTTTTACTGTTCCTCTGGTCAATTCAGTACTGTTTTCCTTGGAGCATGTGTTTAAAAGGAAATCCTAGATGTGTTCAAACATTACTGCCCACTTTCAGATGGATTGATATCTACCTAGGACTTGTCTATTAAACCCACCTGCCTGAGTACTGTGACTTGATTGGAGTTTTCTTGAAGTCACTCCTGAAGCACTGTGATGGCTTTGTCTAACATTAATAGATTTTTAAAAATGATATGTGTTGGGGAATGGCTATGAAAAAAGGGGAGAATCTGTTGCTACTGCAAACCAATTAAGGAGGCAACTTAAAAAGGAAATCTGAATTGTAACTATGTTTCTATTCCTATAAAATACTGTCCTTACCTTGCAGTCTGTAGTTGATGTGCCCAGACACAGTAGTGGCTCTCGGGTTGCTCTTCTGCCATCTTCCTGTCTCCTTCAGTCCCTGCATGCGTATAGGAACTTCAGTGAGATAATGGGGCATTTAACAGAGATTGTTCTGTGCAATACTGTATTTAGTGTTTCTATTTTAAACTTTCTAGGATGTTAATTTACATGCAAATAAAATACATAATAAGAGAGTTCTCTGCCTATTGTGTCTATATGACCTAAAAGTAAATGCAAAATATTTATCCCAGAGGGAAAATAAGTTAGAGCGTCTGTGTTCAAAGATTTTTGAAAGTTCTTATCTCAGGCCGAACCGTTGCTGGTGAACAGTGAAAGTCGCTCTGTCATGTCTGACTCTGCGAACCCATGGACTGTACAGTCCATGGAATTCCCCAGGCCAGAATACTAGAGTGGGTAGCCGTTTCCCTTCTCCAGGGGGTCTTTGCAACCCAGGGATCGAACCCAGGTCTTCTGCACTGCAGGTGGATTCCTCACCAGCTGAGCCACCAGGGAAGCCTGAACAGTTCTTGGCAGTTAAGGATTTAACAAATGCTAGAGTGTAAAGACAAAATAATAATTCTGCTACAGTAAAACACACTTTCTTAAGTGCAAATCTTCTCAATGCAGTTTTAGGGAAGAAGTATTTCCCCCTTATGGAAATATCAGTATGTTAATACCTAAGAAGTCCTTTTACGAAAAGTTGCAAAAATTCATATGATGTAGATTAAATGGTGATAAAAATTGAGTTGATCTCAATGAGGCAGCAGTGAGTGGTGGCGTGCAGTGAGGTCTAATTCGCTGCCCAGGAACTGAACCTGGGTAGCCTGAACGAAAACCAGGAATCCTAGCCACCAGACCAGCAAGGGCTAGAGGCTAGAAGCCAAGTTTCCCTGGATCTTTGACCAGTGAAAAATGCATTCATCATGGAGGCAGAATCGCTACATGCAGGTACAACGTTTATTATCAGAGACACAGCACAGCAACACGTGGGAAAGAACACGGAGGAACAGCTGGTCTAGTTCCGACAGAAGCAAAGCAGAGACACACACCTGGAGAGAAAGGTTATGGGCGCCCCCTGGTGAGAAGGAGCACAATAACCACGAGGTGGTGAAGTCCTTTATATAGGCCAGTTCTTCTGGGTCTTTGTCTTCCTTCCTGCCAAGTTTCTGGTTCCTTTCTTCACATCTGACCTATCCTGGGCCTCTGCCCTGGTGTGCACATACCCCTCAGCCAAGATGGATCTCCAAGTGGAGGCTTCTGGGAGAAGCGAGGCTCATCATGGTCTGGCATTTTCGCGGGACTTTTCACCCACAAGGAGCCTCTCTGCGCGTGTGTAGTGTTTCCCTTCTCCCACAAGGGGGGTGGGCGGAGGGGAGATCTCTTCATCCTTGACTCAAGCAGGATTTTGTCCCTCTTTGCCCTTGTCATGGCTACTAAAGTGTTCATAAGAGACAGACACTGGCTATTTACCCTCTTTCTGTTGTTACTTCCATTTCACAGGGCAAGCAGGACACTGACTGTAAAGGCTCAACTGGAGCCCAACCATCTCTTGCCTCAAGAAATGTAAACAGGCTAGATGTAAATGCCTAACCTGGAGTCCATCTGTCTCCTCCAGCAACATTATGGGAAGACAAAAGGCGGAAAATTATGCCAATAAGGCACCACATGATGGTGCAAAAAGATGGATATAGACAAGGAAAGAAGGAATAAAAACTAAGCATTATGCTAATGGCAACCATTATGCAAGTTAATGGGGGGTGGGGGGGAACCTAATGGAAAACACTTGCTTTTACGCCATAAACCATCTTTGAATTCAGGTTGAATTGGATTTTTCACGATAAACTTTTCATCACCTCTGCGTTGGCTTGTCGTCTACTTTGTGCAAAAGCCTGGAGCTCCTAACTACTAGGGTGTCTCCCATCCAAGTACTAACTAACCCTGCTTAGTTTCCCCGAACAGAAGACATCTGGCCCGTTCAGGGTGGTATGATCTTAGATGGAGGCGGTTGCCGCCAGGCACCTTTAAAAACCCTGCGCTGCGGCTCCTTTTCGCTCTGATGTGCCGTGTCGAGCCAGCCGGCCGCACCTTTCCACGGGGCGCGCCGGCCAGGGCCGGCAGCCCGGCCGAAGGCTCCCCGTCCCCGCACACCAGTAACCCTGGCCAGCAAACCTGGCCCGGCCCGGGGGCCCGGAGTGTTTCCGGGACCCCGAGCGGCCGGTCGGGCGTGCATGCCTGGGCTTGGGGTTGGGGTAAGGGGCGCGGAGGTCTCGGCGCCCTCCCGCCCTGGGCCTCTCCAGGCCCGCCCCCTGTCGGCGCCCCCCCCCTGCCCACTCCCGTTCGTGGCTCAGGGCCACGTGGCCCCGGAGGTGTCTGATTCGGGCCCGCCGCGGACCGCGGCCCTCGGTCCTCTGAGCCTCCCTCGGGCATAGGCGGAGCGCAGCCGGGGCCCTGAGCGCCCATCCTGCCCGGCACCTGCCCGGGGCCCAAACCCAATGGGAGCCACCAGCGCGGTCCACCCGAGTGCCTCAGCCCCGCCCCTTCGCCCTACCTCTGCCCCCCTCCTCGCCCCGCCGCTCGCCAAGCACAGCACCTTCCTGAGGTCCTTAAAATTCTTCCTTCAAGAGTTCTAAGTAAATTTAAGACAGCATCTACTGGATTTTCAGCAACGCCTAAAAAAACAAACAAACCAACAGTTACCTTGATCCATCTTGCCTTAATGTGAGCTGTAACAGTAACCTCAGAGCTGCTGCACTCAATGATTTGATTCATTCCGTTGTTGAAAAACAGGGATTCTCAATATTGTCAAAATGGCTATAGTACCCAAGGCAATCTACAGATTCAATGCAATCCCTATCAAGCTACCAACGGCAGCTTTCAGAGAACTAGAGCAAATAATTTCACAATTTGTATGGAAATGCAAAACACCTCGAATAGCCAAAGGAATCTTGAGAAAGAAGAATGGAACTGGAGGAATCAACCTGCCTGACTTCACACTATACCACAAAGCCACAGTCATCAAGACAGTATGGTACTGGCACAAAGACAGAAATATAGATTAATGGAACAGAACAGAAAGCCCAGAGATAAATCCACGAACCTATGGTCACCTTATCTTCGACAAAGGAGGCAAGGATATACAGTGGAAAAAAAGACAACCTCTTTAACAAGCGGTGCTGGGAAAACTGGTCAGCCACCTGGAAAAGAATGAAACGAGAACACTTTCTAACACCATACACAGAAATAAACTCAAAATGGATTAAAGATCTAAATGTTAAGACCAGAAACCATAAAACTCCTAGAGGAGAACACAGGCAAAACACTCTCCGACATAAATCACAGCAGGATCCCAGAGGATTAGAAACAAAAGCGAAAATTAACAAATGGGACCTAATGAAACTTAAGAGCTTTTGCACGACAAAGAAACTATAAGCGAGGTGAAAGGACAGCCCTCAGATTGGGAGAAAATAACAGCAAACGAAGCAACACACAAAGGATTAATCTCAAACATATACAAGCAACTCCTCCAGCTCAACTCCAGAAAATAAATGACCCAATCAAAAAATGGGCCAAAGAGCTAACCAGACATTTCTCCAAGGAAGACATACAGATGGCTAAAGGACACAATGAAAAGATGCTCAACATCACTCATTATCCGAGAAATGCGAATCAAAACCACAATGAGGTACCATTACACGCCAGTCAGGATGGCTGCTATCCAAAAAGTCTACAAGCAATAAATGCTGGAGAGGGTGTGGAGAAAAGGGAACCCTCTTACCCTGTTGGTGGGAATGCAAACTAGTACAGCCACTATGGAAAAGAGTGTGGAGATTTCTTAAAAAACTGGAAAAAGAACTGCCCTAAGATCCAGCAATCCCACTTCTGGGCATACACGCCGAGGAAACCAGATCTGAAAGAGACACGTGCACCCCAATGTTCATCGCAGCACCGTTTATAATAGGCAGGACATGGAAGTAACCTAGATGCCCGTCAGCAGACGAATGGATAAGGCAGCTGTGGTACATATACACCATGGAATCTTACTCAGCCATTAAAAAGAATTCATTTGAATCAGTTCTAAAGAGATGGATGAAACTGGAGCCCGTTATACAGACTGAAGTAAGCCAGAAAGATAAAGACCATTACAGGCTACTAACACATATACACGGAATTGAGAAAGATGGTAATGATAACCCTATTTGCAAAACAGAAAAAGACACACAGATGTATAGAACAGACTTTTGGACTCTGTGGGAGAAGGCGCGGGTGGGATGTTTCAAGAGAACAGCATCGAAACATGTATATATAATCTAGGGTGAAAGAGATCACCAGCCCAGGTTGGATGCAGGAGACAAGTGCTCGGACCTGGTGCACTGGGAAGAGCCAAAGGGATCGGGTCGAGACGGAGGTGGGAGGGGGGATCGGGATGGGAAATACATGTAAATCCATGGCTAATTCATGTCAATGTATGACAAAAAAATTTGTAAAGTCATTAGCCTCCAACTAATAAAAATAAATGAAAAAAAAAACAACAGGGATTCATTGAGCTGCATGGGAGATGAATTCTGTCATTAGAAACTTTGCCACCAGGCTTAAGAAATATATTTAGAACTCATTTCTTTCCGGAAACAGGTTTCAAGATCTCCATAAGAAGTCTTTTATTAAGATAAATCACAGCTTTGTCGGTTTCTCCAGAAGAACCCTATTTTTAATTCCCAAGGAGAATGGCAATAATAAAACTAAATTAACCGAGTAGGTTATTTTCTCTCTAATGGCCCCTGTCTTGATTAAGAGGATTCCGGTCTACGTATTTCCTGGGCTTCCCTGGTGGCTCAGGTGGTAAAGAATCTGTCTGCAATGCAGGAGACCTGGGTTTCATGCCTGGGTTGAGAAGATCGCCTGCAGAAGGGAATGGCCACCTCTTCCAGTATTCTTGCCTAGAGAATTCCACGGACAGAGGAACTGGGAAGGCCACAGTCCATGGAGTCACAAAGAGTCGGACACCGCTGAGCAACTAATACACATATTTTCTTACCATTTGCTTAGCAGAAGCAATCATTCATAGCATTTTATAGCACTTTCTAAAGAACATTTTGTGCCTTTTTTCTCTTTTGTAAGCTGCACCAGGTCTTGGTTGCCACACATGGGATCTTTCATTGTGGCGTGCAAACTCTTCCTTGCAGTGAATGGGATCTAGTTCACTGACCAGAGATTGAACCCAGGCCCCTGCATTGGGAGGAGCCACTGGATCGCCAGGGAAGCCCTCTAAAGAACTCTTAAAGTGAAACTTTTTGGATGTTCGCAGCAGCTCTGGGCAGTCCTAGTGATGATACTTGTTCTGCACTCTTGAGCCCGTGACCTCCCTGAGGGACACAGGGGCCAAGCGAGCAGATGCTACCCCAGCGGCAGACCACAGGGCCAGACTGGCAGTGTAAACTCCCTTCCAGTGATGTCCTCTTTTTACTGTTCCTCTGGTCAATTCAGTACTGTTTTCCTTGGAGCATGTGTTTAAAAGGAAATCCTAGATGTGTTCAAACATTACTGCCCACTTTCAGATGGATTGATATCTACCTAGGACTTGGCTATAAAACCCACCTGCCTGAGTACTGTGACTTGACTGGAGTTTTCTTGAAGTCACTCCTGAAGCACTGTGATGGCTTTGTCTAACATTAATAGATTTTTAAAAATGATATGTGTTGGGGAATGGCTATGAAAAAAGGGGAGAATCTGTTGCTACTGCAAACCAATTAAGGAGGCAACTTAAAAAGGAAATCTGAATTGTAACTATGTTTCTATTCCTATAAAATACTGTCCTTACCTTGCAGTCTGTAGTTGATGTGCCCAGACACAGTAGTGGCTCTCGGGTTGCTCTTCTGCAATCTTCCTGTCTCCTTCAGTCCCTGCATGCATATAGGAACTTCAGTGAGATAATGGGGCATTTAACAGAGATTGTTCTGTGCAATACTGTATTTAGTGTTTCTATTTTAAAGTTTCTAGGATGCTAATTTACATGCAAATAAAATACATAATAAGAGAGTTCTCTGCCTATTGTGTCTATATGACCTAAAAGTAAATGCAAAATATTTATCCCAGAGGGAAAATAAGTTAGAGCGTCTGTGTTCAAAGATTTTTGAAAGTTCTTATCTCAGGCCGAACCGTTGCTGGTGAACAGTGAAAGTCGCTCTGTCATGTCTGAATCTGCAAACGCATGGACTGTACAGTCCATGGAATTCCCCAGGCCAGAATACTAGAGTGGGTAGCCGTTTCCCTTCTCCAGGGGGTCTTTGCAACCCAGGGATCGAACCCAGGTCTCCTGCACTGCAGGTGGATTCCTCACCAGCTGAGCCACCAGGGAAGCCTGAACAGTTCTTGGCAGTTAAGGATTTAACAAATGCTAGAGTGTAAAGACAAAATAATAATTCTGCTACAGTAAAACACACTTTCTTAAGTGCAAATCTTCTCAATGCAGTTTTAGGGAAGAAGTACTTCCCCCTTATGGAAATATCAGTATGTTAATACCTAAGAAGTCCTTTTACGAAAAGTTGCAAAAATTCATATGATGTAGATTAAATGGTGATAAAAATTGAGTTGATCTCAGTGAGGCAGCAGTGAGTGGTGGCGTGAAGTGAGATCTAATTCGCTGCCCAGGAACTGAACCTGGGTAGCCTGAACGAAAACCAGGAATCCTAGCCACCAGACCAGCAAGGGCTAGAGGCTAGAAGCCAAGTTTCCCTGGATCTTTGACCAGTGAAAAATGCATTCATCATGGAGGCAGAATCGCTACATGCAGGTACAACGTTTATTATCAGAGACACAGCACAGCAACACGTGGGAAAGAACACGGAGGAACAGCTGGTCTAGTTCCGACAGAAGCAAAGCAGAGACACACACCTGGAGAGAAAGGTTATGGGCGCCCCCTGGTGAGAAGGAGCACAATAACCACGAGGTGGTGAAGTCCTTTATATAGGCCAGTTCTTCTGGGTCTTTGTCTTCCTTCCTGCCAAGTTGCTGGTTCCTTTCTTCACATCTGACCTATCCTGGGCCTCTGCCCTGGTGTGCACATACCCCTCAGCCAAGATGGATCTCCAAGTGGAGGCTTCTGGGAGAAGCAAGGCTCATCATGGTCTGGCATTTTCGCGGGACTTTTCACCCACAAGGAGCCTCTCTGCGCATGTGTTGTGTTTCCCTTCTCCCACAAGGGGGGTGGGGGGAGGGGAGATCTCTTCATCCTTGACTCAAGCAGGGTTTTGTCCCTCTTTGCCCTTGTCATGGCTACTAAAGTGTTCATAAGAGACAGACACTGGCTATTTACCCTCTTTCTGTTGTTACTTCCATTTCACAGGGCAAGCAGGACACTGACTGTAAAGGCTCAACTGGAGCCCAACCATCTCTTGCCTCAAGAAATGTAAACAGGCTAGATGTAAATGCCTAACCTGGAGTCCATCTGTCTCCTCCAGCAACAT